ATCTCACTCATATGTGGAATATAAACCAACACATGGACAGAGAAAACTGGACTGTGGTTACCAGGGGCAGTGGGGGTAGGGGGTGGGCACAAGGGGTGAAGGGAGTCATATATATGGTGATGGACAAACAAAAATGTACAACCCAAAATTTCACAATGTTAGAAACCATTAAAACATCAATAAGAAAAAAAACAAAAAAAAACTCACCCAGTCCCATCCTCTCTTTAAGTCTTCTCCCCTTCACCAAGCCCTTGCCCCGGCCTGAGCCCCCTCTCTCTCCGAGCCCATTCAGTGAGCCCCCATCCCCTCACTCAGCCCCTCCTTCTCTCTGAACCCGGCCACCATCCTGTCCTCTCTGTGCCTGGGCTGTAGGACTGCAGCCAGCAGGCAGCACTGTGCGGCCCGGCCCCTCTCCCTTGGAGACGCCTCCCCACCCCCACCTTCGCCCTCAGCCCACATGGGGCCCAGCCTGGGGGCAGCACCGGCTCAGCCAGTCTGGCCAGGCTGGGCAGCCAGGCCTCCTGTAGAGCCAGGCCCATCATTACCCCGTCCAGGGCCAAGTGGAGAGAATGGCCACTGGTGCGGGCTGCCAGGCTGCGGGCTAGGGGCTACCTGCTCAGCCTGGGACCAGGCCTCCTCCTCTGAGCCCAGGGCCTCTGGCTTTCTAGAGGCTGTGCTGGGCCCACCCGACCCCTGCCAGGGCGGCCAGAAGCATCTCAGTGGGCCTAGTGGGCCTGGCTCCTGGGGCCTCGACTCCATGTCCCAGTGCCTGGGAGGGTGGTGTTGTCATCCTCCTTCCCCGATGGGGAAATTGAGCATTTAATTCTATTGCCCAATGTCACAGAACTGGTAGTGGCAGAGTTGGGACTCGACCAGGGAGGGCTGGGGATCATTTCAGATGAGAGCCACAAAGGGGCCACTACATCCTCCCCCAGATTCTGAAAGTCCCAGCCTGGGACCCAGCCCTCCCGGCCAGTGCTGGGTCCGCCCAGGGGAAACCCCACCGCTGCCAGAGCCACGCAGGAGGTGGCCAGTCCACACCGGGCTGGTCTGGAAGTGACCGCCTGTTTGCTGTAAGCCTCCAGGAGGTCCTCCTTCTGGAACAATCCAGGGAGATAGCTCTGAAGTGACGGGTGACACAATCTTTACACTCACAGAGGATTGTGACATCCCATTGCAGATTATTTACTGAAATTTTAGAATTTTATAACTTAATGGCACCGTCTCCAGTTAAGAAAGAACAGGATCATAACTCGTGTCTGTGAGCTGAGAAGTCAGTGAACTCCTGCAAAAATAAATAGTTTTTATTTATTCCGGCTAGACTAATTTTTGGGCTCAGAGTGAGGTTGCTTTGTTTTCTTCTTCAAAAAAGCCGCTGGATTTTATAAGGATCAAAATGGTATGTTTGGTGGGCAGGAATAACTTGAAGTTGGCCCTGGCTTGCCTGGCCTTAATCTGCCAGTTCCCAGAGATAAGAAGTGAAGGTCCTGGGACCCAGGTCTGCTTGGCCGACTGAGATTCTTCTGCTGGCCCTGGCAGGGGTCTGGCGGGCCGGGCACAGGCCCCCGGCTCAGGAGCAGCAGGACGGCTCAGGGTTGGGTGGTAGACATTATCTGCTCCTCTCCCAGGGGTGCTCAGAGAGCCAGGCGTAGGCACTGGGTGTGTGTGTTGTGTTGTGTTGTGATCAGGACTGGGCTGAGCCCTCAGGGCTCTGGGCACAGGGGTCCGAGATAGTCCTAGCTCCCACCTGGGAGGAGTGGGATCAGAGCTGAGGAGTGGCTGCTTTGTGCTACAAACACGGCTCCTTCCTCCTCGGGACTGAACTTTACAGCTCTCAAAGCCTTTTCGTAGCCTCCTCTCAGTTCACACCTGTCTTCAATAGGGGAGGGGCGGGCACGTCCTCATTTTACAGAGAGGGAAGTTGAGCTCAGAGACGGAACTGGCTTCTTCCAGGTCACAGGGCTGGCGAGATGGTTATGGGGTGGGCAGGGCAGGTGAACTGGTCTGGTGGGGGAAAGGGCTATCCTTGATAAAACCCACAATTCTATTGGCATCAAGTGATACAGTGTACGTTGGGAGAAAGAAAAAGAAAGGAGTGTTAACTTTGCCCTCCCTGCCCCCAAAGCAAAGGTGATAAATGGCAGCCACATTATAAAGTGTCACAGTAAAAGACTGTCTAAGCTGTCGGAGGGCCAGGTTCAGGGAGCGAGAGGGGGCGCAGGAGAGGTTTGCTGGGGTTTTTCCTGCGGCAGGTGGGAGAGCCCTGGCCAGGGTCTCCTGGCAGAACTGAACCATCAACAAACACCTCTCCAGCTCCACTCCTGTGCAGAGGTGCTGCCGGCTCCCCCAGAGCCCCTTCTGCTCCTCCTCCACACCTGGGCCCCCAGCCCGGCTGAGCTCCCGGAAGATCCCCCTGCCCTGGGCCTGCCCTCTTCCTGGGGCCCGCCTGCACCCGCCTCCCCTGCCCTCAGCCCCTCCCCCACCTCGGATGTGCTTGGCTGAGCTGGGCAGGGAAGGACAGCTTCCTAGTTAATTCTGTTGGGCCACAGGTGGAAAGTTCTAGTGCCTGCATGCTCTGCCTCCCTCATTCCTGCTTCTCCAACTGCCAGTTGGCTGTGTCCCAGGAGAACGGGGCAGGAAACTGGCGGTGGTGTGTGCGTGTGGAGTGCCCGCCATCTGGCCGACTCACTTCTGTCCTTGGGACGCTTGCTGAACGGCTGGGTCACCTGGAGTGTCCGCCCCGTCCTGGGCAAGCCCCCCGCCCTCTCTGGGCCTCAGTTTACCCATCCGTGCAAAGGCAGGAAGAGTCCTGCCCTGCTTCCTGACAGGGAGGCTGTGACGAGGTCACGGCAGGAAAGCACTTACTGTCAGTCAGTCTGGGAGACTAGTGACGTCTGCTGTTCAGCCACAGGCCTGGGCGCATGCTGTTCCTCAGAGCCTGTAAGGGCCCCCGGGGAGGCGTGCTGCAGGCAGACACCCTCCTGTGTGTTGGTGTGTGCCTGTGGGGGAGGGCGGGAGAGTCGGGGAGGGCACCTTGAGCGTTAATCGCAGACCTACTACGCGTAACCCCTGTGCCGAGCTCTGAGGCTGAAGAAGGTGCTGCTTTTGACCTCCAGGAGCCCCCAGCCTCGTCGGGGAGACAGATGTGTTTACAGTCAACCACCATACAAAACCCCGACTTCCCCATCACGCTGGATTGTCCCAGCCAGCCCCCGGGGTTTACCAGGCAGTCAACACACCCATCTCAAACGCCTCCAGTGTGCTGAGCTTCCGGTATGCTGAGGGCTCACAGATGGCTTCAACCCAAATCACCCACGCTCCGTGGTTCTCCTGCAGAGGCTCAAAGACCACACGTCTGGGTCAGACTGGACACGCAGCCACCCCAGGGCGCCAGGCACGGTGCTGGACAAGCTGCGGGCTCCGGGACGTACTGGAGCCGGAGGCCCCCCCCACCGCCCCACATGGTGGGGAAGAGAGACACGCAGTGGCCCTGTGGAGGGTGAGGGGTCCCCTCGATCCAGCTGGGATGAGCCCCAGCCACTCTCTCAGCCCCACAATGACCCCTTCCTCTAGGTTCCCTCAGCCCCTGCCCTGAATCAGGCCCTTCCTGATCCTCGACCCCCCGCCCTGCTTTGACCTCCAACCTGATTCCAGAGGCACTTTCTAAGGTGTGTGGACACCTCAGCCTGGCGTCCAACGCCCAGTGCACAGTGCAGGGCTAGGTGATGCTTGAGGCGGAGGTTTCCGGCCCTTTCCCTCTGGCCCTCCCCCCTCCCTGGGTCTCTGGTCAGACTGGATTCCTCTCAGTTCCAGAACTCGCTGCCTTTCTCCACCTTTGCCCTCACTGCTCCCTCTCCAGAACGTCCTCCTTCACCCAGTCCTGCTGCCTTGCACAACTCCAGGGGGACCCATTCATGGAGACTTCTGGCATCAGTGCCCTCCGCAGCATAACCCGAGGCCGGCGCCCCTGGAGTTGGCCGTGCAGCACCCCTTCCCTGTGGAGACCCCTCCCCAGCACCCCACCCCCGCCTGGGCTGAGTTCCCCCCACAAAGCCTCATGGGACTTTGCACCCAGCCCGGCTTTATCAGAGGACCGTTTTGTGTGTCTTCACAGAGTAAACACCCGTTTGCTGGGCTGATGTCCCCAGGGTCCGGCCCATGGCCGGCTCTTGGTGACTTCCCCCACCTAGTTCTGGCCAAGCAGGCTTGGCCCAGCAGGAACTGGCCGAAACTTCCATGGCGGGGGGAGGGCAGGTTTCCTTCCTTTGGCCAAAAGGGCATCACCTCCAAGGCCCCCTCCTCCGGCAGGGCTGGGAAGCCGGGTGGTGATGGTGAGAGATGGGGAGGGCGAGTGATGGACCCAGGAGTCCCAGCCCCCCAGCTCCTCCTTCCCTGAAACTGGACTTCATCAGGCCAATGCTAAGACTGCTGGGGAGGCAAAGGCACAGACAATGAGAATCAGAATAGTAGTAATCAGGCCGGTGATGAGGGAAAAAGGATGTGACTACAGTAATCAAGGTGGGCTGCTCTGTTCCCAGGACTTCATCCTCAGACCCTCTCCCTGAGGGTCCCCATCCCTGTCTGCCCACCCAAGCCTGGAATGAGGGAGACCTGGGGCTTGGGGACACTGGTCTTCAGGGCCTGAACCTGGCTGGGCCTGGCTGCCCCCCCGCCCTGGGCACATGGTCCAGGTGCCCATGGCTGTGACTCAGTGTCTTGTCTCCTGGCTGACCTCAGCGTGGGCCTGGGGGCTGGGGGGAGGGGGCAGTTTCCTCTGAGACTGGCTCTCCAGGATGGTGACTCAGAGGCCCAGGGCTGGGGCCTTCAAGTGCTTTTGTCGGCTCAGGCATCCAGAGAAACTGGTCAGGGGAGGCCCCAGGGACTGAAACCCCTCCTCTGCCCCCGCCCTCTGCAGAGCCCTATAACTGCGCCAGTCTTCAGTCTGAGAGCGCCAGGCAGCTGTTGGTGGAAGGAACTGGACTGATCACATTTGTTGGGCTGGTGCTTCTGACTCTCGGGAGAGACACTGGGCAGCTGCTCTGACTGGCTTTGCCTCTGGACTTGCAGTGAGAGACCTCCCTGCAGACACTGAGTGACCATCCTCAGCACTTGGATTCCTACAGCCCCCTGGACCGGATCCCCACAGTCTTCCACGGCCGAGACCCCCGCAGACGCTGAGCGATGGCTTCCATGGGGCTGCAGGTCATGGGCATCGCCCTGGCCGTGCTGGGCTGGCTTGGTGCCATACTGAGCTGCGCGCTGCCCATGTGGCGCGTCACGGCCTTCATCGGCAGCAACATCGTCACATCGCAGACCATCTGGGAGGGCCTGTGGATGAACTGCGTGGTGCAGAGCACGGGCCAGATGCAGTGCAAGGTGTATGACTCGCTGCTGGCGCTGCCGCAGGACCTGCAGGCGGCCCGCGCCCTTATGGTCATCTGCATTATCCTGGCCGTGGTGGGTGTGCTGCTGTCTGTGGTGGGCGGCAAGTGCACCAACTGCGTGGAGGACGAGAGCTCCAAGGCCAAGATCATGATTGTGGCGGGCGTGGTGTTCCTGCTGGCCGGCCTGCTGTCGATAGTGCCTGTGTCCTGGACGGCCCACAATGTCATCCGTGACTTCTACGACCCACTGGTGGCCTCCGGCCAGAAGCGGGAGATGGGCGCCTCACTCTACATCGGCTGGGCCGCCTCAGGCCTGCTGCTGCTCGGCGGAGCCCTGCTCTGCTGCAACTGCCCCCCCAGCACCGACAAGCCCTACTCGGCCAAGTACTCGGCTGCCCGCTCCGCCCCAGCCAGCAACTATGTGTAAGGTGTCCAGCTCGACACTTCCGCTCGGCTTTGTTTCTCCCTGGACTGAGCCCAGGGCAGCCTGAGACCCCGGGATGGCCCTGCCATGGGCTGCAGGCTGTCGGGGGCTGGGCGAGCAGGGACTGAGCCAGGCCACTGGCCGGCAGCTCTCAGCCCCTTCTGGCCCTCTTGGACACCTGCCCACGGCCTCCTCCACACTAGCGAGGATGAATGGAGAGACTCCTGTGCCACCCACCTCTGAATGGTCTGTGGATACAGGGGAGGGACGCAAGCCACAGGGTGTGGCGGTGGAGCAGGCGCTGGATCCTGCTGGCGGGGCAGCTCAGCGGGCTTTGCTGGGGCTCTGCGTCTGCGTGGTGCCCCGCCCGTGCCCGTGCTGTCCCCTTCTTTAGTCTTCCCTACCCCCTGCCTGCACCCTCTGGGGGGGTGAGCGAGCACCTGGGCTGTAAGGCGCCCATGGAGACCTGAGGTCATGAGAACACCTGGGGCCCGCTCAGCCACCTGCAGGGGGAGCGCAGAGCTGACGCAGTTGATGGACGGGTTAGAGGGGAGGGCGCTACAAACTGGTTTGGGTAGTGGTGGCGGAGGGGGCCAGAGAAGCAGCTCTGGCTGCCCGCACCTCTGCTGTGTGCCCACCCCCCTCCCCCAGCCTCAGGCTCTGCCTCAGCAGAAGGACCCTCCCTTCAAGGCGGCCCCCCCCCACCCCCGCCTTGAGACCGGCTACCTCTGGATCTGCTGCCTTGGGATCCACCACCCCTGCCAAGGTCATTGGCCAGCCTGGGGAGGACAGGCGGAACGGTCTGTCTCTGGCCCTCAGCCCAGGAAGTCCTGGAGCTTTTCCTGCCTTCTTTGTGGTTTCTGTTTTGTAATTTAAGATCTATTCATCATGGTAATTGCTATTATTTTCTACAATAAATGGGACCTGTGCACAGGAAGACTCTGTATCGTTTTTGATTTCAGCTGTGGAGGTAGGCGGTGCAGGGCTGGAGGCCTGGGCAGGGGGTCAGTGAGGTCAGGACCACTGTGCCGTGGCCAGGATGGGAACACTGGAAAAACCGGGTTCGGGGAATTGAGAAAAATCGCAACAGCCCCAACCTTTGGAATCATCTGTTCAAGCCCCTCATTTGCTAGAGGGTAAACCCCGTACACAGGAGGCACAGTGTGTGCCCAGGACCCTGGGAAGAGTTGGGGACCCCAGGAGGGGGGACCTGGCCCTGGGGAACGGGCCACCTGCCCTCTCCCCTTCTTGGTCCCAGCTTTGTCTGGGCAGCCAGGCTGGTCTGCTCACCCTCCAGGTCCCGCCTCCTGGCATTTGTGCAGGCTGTCCCTGCCCTCCGCCTGGAATGTCCTTTTTCCTTTCTCCACCCCTCCAGATCCTGCTTGTCCTGAAGGTCCAGCTCGGAGCTGCCTCCCCCAGGAAGCCTTCCCACGGCCCCTGTCCCCGTCGCCTCGTCCCTTCGGTGCTGACAGTCACCAAAGCCCTTTCACTTGCCCAGCTGAGGGCAGTCTCCAAGCCTTGCCCTGAGCTCAGTGTTCCCACCCCTTTAGAGAGGAGACCGAATCCTGGACATGTGAAAGTGCACGGCCATGGCCCAGATGGGTGAGCATGGTCCTGGTCCATGAGGCAGAGGTGGGAGGGCCCGGACCTCATGGAGGAGTCATCAAGTCACATCTGTGGCCCTAGCATGCCTGGTTCAGGGACGGCCACGTTCGGGGGCCCTCTCTGTCCTGTCCCTTCTCACTTCTGTCTTTCTCAGGGACAGAGGTCACTCTTTCCTGGGGCAAGAGATCCACAGAGCCAGAGTCCTGCCTCCCCTTCTGGACTCATTTAATAAGCTGAGCTCTCCTGAGGGGCAGGATTGGCACAGTGGCCCCATTTCACAAAGCAGAGGAGGCCTGAGGATGGGCCTGGCTGAGGCCACATGGAGGGTCAGTGGCCAACCAGGGGCTGAAGACTGGGCCTCACTCCCTCGACTGGGTCACCTTCTGCTTTTGGTACAGGTAGATGATGCCGGAGATGAAGCCATCACTGTCAGAAGCGCCAGGCACCAGCTCGAGCTCGGAGGTGGCCAGTTCCCATCGGTCCACAGGCCAGGCCACCAGGCGTTCCCAGGCCCCGGCCTGCTCCAGCCTGTCCAGGGTGGCCTCCAGTGCCTCCTTGTATCGCAGGTTGGATGGGTTGGCCCTGGTGATCAGACACACCATCCCACCTGGGGAGGCGTGGGGAGGGACAGGTGAGTGGGGGCGGGGCAGGAGCCATGTTCCAGGCCCGCCCTGCCCGGGGAAGGTTGTCCCCTTCGTGCTCATGTCTTCAAGGGCGTCAGTTCTCCCAGTTTTGTCCCATCTCCATGCCTCTGGTGCCTTCAGCCCTCCCCCAGGAACACCCTTCTGCTTCCTCCGTGTGATGGCCTCCTGTACACCCTCAAAGCCCAGGGGTCCTTTCTGCTGGGATTCCAGGCTCACTTCCCTGCACAGCAGTGACTGCCTTCTCACTGCTCACCGCCCCTCCCTCTGCTGGAGGAGATGGCTGTGTCTGCGTGCACAGGAAGGAAGCACGTGGGCAAGTCCCTTCACCTCTTTGAGCCTCAGTTTCCCAGCTTGCAGAGCAAGAATGATTGCCCTGTCACACAGGAAGGCTGGCACAGTCAGCAAGAGCTGGCTGAATGAAAGAATAACTTCGTCCTTTCAGGTCTTCTCCAGGCACCTACAGGACGCCCAGTGCAGGCTCAGATACACTTAGGAGAGACGGGTGCCTGGAAGGCTTCCTGGAGGAAGGGGTGAGGAGAAGCAGGGCCCTGCTGGGGGAGGGGGGCTCTGTGAGAGGAAAAGCTCCAAAGCGCGGGGGGCCTGTGACACGTGGGCAGGCAGACAGGGCTCTGGCCAGCTAAGGGGCCTGCCAGGCACAGGCTGGTCTAGAAGCCCTGGTCCTTACAGGGTCTGGTGATGGGAGACTCCTGTCCCCCAGAGCCCAATCACTCCCTCTCTCTCTGACCCCCACCAATGTCCCTGCATCTGTCAGCCCCCACGGTTCCCTGAGGCTGAGGCCTGCCCAGACCTGCCCAGGCTTAGCCACAGCCCCTGCTGGGCCCGGTGAGGAGGGCAGGGAGAGGACGTGATCTTGCCGCTATGGGGGCAAATTTGCGGCTTCCTGCTCCTGTTCCGCAGCCAGGTCAGGGCCTCGGGGTCCCTACCCGCCACCATTCTCCTTTCTGCCTGTGACTTCGCTTCAGCTGTGCTCCTGGGTGGCCTGCCCTCACTCCTCAGCCCAGCCCTCGGAAATGCCTCCCTTCTCTGAATTCTCAGAGCACTGAGCACTACTGGCCCTCGTGGGCCCCGCTCTGGCCTGGTCTTTTCCCCGGGGGCCCCTACTGGGTGGGCTGGTGATGGGGGCCCAGAGAGCAGGGTGTGCTCCGGGGCAGAGGTGAGCATAGTAGGAGCACAGGAACACAATCCTCACCTGCACATCAGCCCCATGGGGGAAGTTTACAAAAAGTGCTCACCTGAGCAGCCCCATTTCACAGATGAGGAAACTGAGACCATGAACGAGAAAGAAACTCACCTGATGGCTGCCCATGAGTTAGTGAGGAAGCTGGGGGATGAGGGAACTGAACTGAGCCCCTCCCACATGCCAGCACTGAAGCAAAGGCCTTAGAGACATCATTTCACCCAATTCTCACCATAAGCCCATGGGGAAGGGACTATGCCATTCTGCTTACAGGCGAGGAAACAGGCCGGAGAGGAGAGAGGAGTCACCCAATGGATAAGAGGCAAGCTGGCCACCTGTCCACCCTGCCCATTTGTCTGGCTCTGTTGATGGCGGCAGCTGAGGCTGGGCCCTGGGCTGGCAGATGGTGGCTGGGATGCTAGCCAAGCTGTGTGACCCGGGCAGGCCCCTGCCCCTCACTTGGCCTGAGGGGCTCTGAGGCTTGTGTCTGTGGGTATGGAGAGGGGAAGGCGTGGGTATGGGGGGTTGGACAGGCTGCTTCTCACCGGGCTTGGTAACTTGCAGGAGCTCAGCTATCGCACTGCAGGGCACCTGGCCATCACTGAGGGCACCAACCACTAGCACTGCGTCAAAGGTCCCTGTGTGGGGGGTGGGGATGTGGTGTGGCGGTTTGTCTTTGCTGTGGCCTCAGACCACCCTGGAGGATGGTACCCATGGTGGGCCTGGGGAGGGAGCCACCAGTGTCTGCAGGACCAGATCCCGTGGGGATAGGTCAGGTGTGGCCCAGCCCAGACTGAGTCAGATCACGGGAGGGAGGGCTCAGAGAGAGTCTCAAGAAGGCACTGGTGAGCTCAGAGGAGGACTGGGGGCTCAGTGTGGGAGGGGCCGTGGGGGGCTCTGCAAGGGCAGTGGAAGCTTGGCAAGAGAAACAGGCTCCATCCAGTGGGCTTGGTCAGAGGGTTGGCCTTGGGGTGTCAGGGTGGGAGGGGAAGTACCTTCAGAGCTGGGCAGAGGCTCCTGGCGCAGGGTGCAGAGGCTGAGGCGCTGGTAGAGGCCGCGGGCCTGGGCCTGTTCCAGCATGCTTGGGCTCCCATCCACCCCGTGCAGCTGGACAAAGCCCCGAGCCTGCAGCTGGGGTGGGAGGACTCAGTCACAGCTCACACCTGCCACCTGCAGCTGGGGTGGGAGGACTCAGTCACAGCTCACACCTGCCACCTCCCAGCTGGGTCCCTGCACTCAGGGAGGGCAGTGGGCCCTGCAGCCCAAGTGCTTGGAACCAGTGAGTCTGAGGGGGGAGGCAGAATTTTGGGGCCAGGGGTGGCAGGAAATTTGAGCAAGTGGGGGGCTGAAGAGAGGGCAGGGGATCTGGGATGGCCTCACCTCAGCAGCCACCAGGCCAGTGCCACAGGCCACATCCAGGATCAGGGCAGCGTGGGGCGGGCCCGGAAGGGCTTGGGTGAGGCAGTCCACTGCGAGTCGGGGGGCACGGTACTGCAGGGCAGCCACATCCTGGGGACAGAGTGCTGAGCCAACCGACACCCTGGACCCCAGAGTTTGGGGGACCTCCGTGTGGGTGGTCTAGGAGTAGGCCAGGCCAAGCTGTGTATGTATGTTGGGTGCCCAGGCCCTGCTGAGACTACAGTCAGCGGAGACCCAGGCATGAGGGGCTTTCCTCTGCCAAGGGGCGAGGACTGGAGAGCCAGCCCCCAGCCCACTGCTGGGGCCTTCTCCACTGGACAAGGCAGTGCTCTCTGCTTAGTCCACAGTGGCCCCTCAATAGCACCCAGGCTGCAGTCTCAGGGTGGGGAGGTCTTGGCCCCTGATCTTTAGGGGCTGCCAATCTGGAGAGATGGGGCCGGTCAGAGAGCAGGGCTGCTGTGGGTGGGCAGAAGAGGGGCCAGTCCATGAGGGGCCAGGGCTGCAGGGTGAGACCTACAGGACCCAGGTCTCACTTCATTCTCACAAGCTGCCCTGGGATGCAAGACTGACTATTCCCGCTTTACAGACAGGAAAATTGAGAGTGGGTGAGAAAAGGGAGGTGAAGGCGAGAACCTGGGCCGGTTTACCTGATCATAGTCCGGAGCCCAGCGGTCATAGAAGCGGAGCTTGTGGGCCAGGTCGGTGATGCCATGCGAGGCCCCGACCCGCGCCCGCACCTCGGGCAGGCTCCCGGCCTCCTCCTGAGCCATCCTACTGTGGGGACATGACCTCCGTGTCCTGAAGCCCACCTCGATCTCCCCTCCACCTCTCCCACCCGTCGTGCCCAGCAGAGGAGGCTGTCAGGCCGCTGTTGCAATCCCATTTCACAGGTGGGAACACTGAGCACAAAGAGGGCGAGGCTGGACACCTGGGGTTCAGGGCTGGGGCTACGGGTGTCCCCCGCGGTGCGAGAGAGGACCTGCCTCCCCGCTCCTGGCCGCCGGCCGCAGTGAGCGGGCTTCCAGGGCGGAAGGGCCTCTACGCAGGTGAGGGTCAGGACTCACCGCCTACCTAACCAGCCGAGCTGGGTGGGCGCCGGAACTCGGGCCACGGCCTGTACGGCGAGCCTGGCCCCGCCCCACCGCCCTCGATGATTGGCTTTCCGCTAAGAGAAAATACCCAATCAAAGGAGAGCACTGCAGCCCGCCCCTCCACCCCCAGCCAATGAGCCCAAAGGTCTTGGCCTTCCTCCAGCCCGGGAAGATCCAGGGCTTGTCGGAGTCGGTTTCGACGTAGCCGGATTCGGGAGCGTCTGTGCCCTCCCGGCTCCCGACGTCCTTTATGCTTCCTGAAAGCGTGCGCTCTCAGGCGCCGGGAGCCTCAGCATTCTCACGGGCAAGAGAGGGACCTGGGCTCAGCCTTCACTTTTAGGACGCTCACCAAGATCTAGGCAACGCCGTCCGGTAGAACTTTCTTCCGTGACGGCTGTTGAGCGCTTGGAATGTGGCTAGCGGTACTGAGGGGCCGAATTTTACAGTTTGTTTTGTTTTAGTAATCCGTGTAACCCTCTGCGGCCGGTGCCTCCTGGCGGCATCCGCGCCAGCCCTGTCAGCTCTGGTTGCTCCAGGCGCGGCCCTTGGGGAGCCTGTTAGCAATGCAGATTCCTGAGCCCCGCCCCAGACCCTCTGAATCAGCATCAGATTGCGGGGGGTCGGGTGGGGGGCCCAGAAATCTGCGTTTTAACAAACTCTTCAGGTGATTTCTATGCAGCTAAAGTCTCAGAAGCACTAGCCTGGAGAACCGTTGGAGGGGATCAGTGTTTGGACAGGCGGGGCTTGGGAGGCTGTTGAAGTTGTCCAGGCGGGAGGTGATGGTAGCTCGAGCTTGACTAGAGGTCATGGATGTGGAGAGGAGTGGATGAGTTTCAGAGATGTTTAGGAGGCAGAAGCAGCAGGGTTCTGATGGTTGAGAGCATGTGGCACGGGGAAGCAAGATATCAGGAGTAGGGGGCCGGCCCAGTGGTGTAGCGGTTAAGTGCACACACTCCGCTGTTGGCGGCTCGGGGTTCGGATCCCTGGTGTGCACCCAGGCACTGTTTGTCGGGCCATGCTGTGGCGGTGTCCCACATAAAGTGGAGGAAGATTGGCATGGATATTAGCCCAGGGCCATTCTTCCTCAGCAAAAAAAAGAAAGCTGTCAGGAGTGGTACTCAGGTTTCTGCTTGAGCCGTTGGGTTGACAGTGGTGCCATTGACAGCAGGGGAAGTCCAGGAGGAGGAGCAGTTTTGGGGTGAAGAGGGTATTAACAGTTTGGGGATATCGAGTTTGAGGTGTCTACGTGAAGAGGCCCAAGAGGCTGTTTGATGCCAGAGTCTTGAGCTCAGGGGAGAGGTCAGGCTGGAGACAGATTCAAGGTCATGAGTATAACTGGTGGTGACTGAGGCAGCTGGTAAAGGTGAGACTGTGCAGGGAGAGAAAGGAAAGAGGAGGGGGCTCAGGGCAGAAGGGCAGTGTCTGGGAGTGTTGGAGAAAACTCAGAGAAAGTTAGTAAGGGTGCTGAGAACAGAGGGTTTCAAAAAGTTGGGGGATGGCCAACACTGCCCCATGTTGCTGAGAGCTGGTGTAAAATGAGGCTTAGGAAGTGAGCACTGGTTGTAGGGTGTGGAGGTCTTTGGTGGCGGAGGTAGACCCTGCTAGTGTACACCAGTTGCCAAGTTTGCCTCTTCTTGCGAAGTTAGGCTATGCTTCCCAGCCTCCCCTGCGTGTGGGTGTGGCCATGTGGCTGAATTCTGGCTAGTAGAATGTGGATGGGGGTGAAGTGCTCTATTTCCAGACCTGGACCATAAACACTTCCTGTATGATCCTCTGTGGAGTGGGCTCCAAGCCCCCAGAGGAGAGTGGGGCTACAAGATGAAGGGGTCTGGGACCTGAAATGATTCTGTGGAGCATCCCCACCAACCTGTGTGGGACCATAACATGAACAAGAAATGAACTTTCATTGTGTTGAGCCACTGAGGTTGTAACAGGGGAAATACTAAAAAGCCTTGTAGCTTCTCTCTTGATGCCGCCCCACTGTCAGTTCCCCTACATTAAACCCAGCTTATATGCGGTTACAACCAAAGGCACTCATTTCCCCTTCCCTGCTTCTCTAAGTTACATTCACATGTAGATATTGGTTGTTTTATCCTTTGTGTCCCTGAATTCCACAAGACAATTGGAGGTAATAAATTGTTAAAATCCCAGGTGGCTACAAACTGAAACTCTGGCTAATTACCAGTTCTTGAGGTTTGTTACAGGGAGACTGAGATCTTGAAATTCTCAAGAAGCTGAAGCTCCCAACTCTGGGTTCCTGGCGCGGAATCCACCCTCATCACAGGGACAGAGAAACGGAGGACACCTGCAGCGTCCTTTATCTCGACCAAATGCAGGCTGATGGGAGGACACCGGACTGCAAAGCTTTAATTGGCGGCAATTTCCTTCCACTTCCCAGGGCCCGATTTCGGGTGATGCGGGAGGATTGATTGATGGAGCCCTAAATCTCCTGCTGTAGATAGAGATAACAGCTGGCTTGACGCCAGAGAGCTGGGCTCTCTCCTCCAACAAATAATCAGTCACCAAGGGTACATTCTTTCCCACAGATTCTCCTTTAAAAACCCCAACTCCTAATGCCTCAGGAGGACTGTGGATTTTGGGGCATGAGCCCACTGCAGCCTCATTTTGCTGCCAAAATTAAACCATTTTTCTTTTCCTTGATCCCTTGTCATTGTGTTCATTGATTTGGCTACGGTGACAGGGTCCTTTTTTCTGGCTACAAGATTTCAGGATTTATCTATGATAATAGCTATTGTCATTTCCCTTAATTAATACAGTGACCTTGGCAAGAGCACTTCTTGGAGAGTGGAGGTAGTAGAGGAGATCCAGATTTCAGCTGTCACCAGCCAAGATCCAAACCCCAATCTTAGTCCAAAGGCATACAGGGAACATGTTGTAGACCCGTTGTGTTCAGATGCAAATAACAGAACACCTGCACAGCAGTGGCTTAAACAGAGGGAGATTCTGTTGTTAGTGCTGTTGAGTGGATTCCGACTCCTAGCGCCCCTGTGGACAGCAGAACGGAGCCCTGCCTGGTTTTCTGCGCCATCCTCTCACCTTCCAGTGCTGTATCAGACGATGCTCTGCTGCTATTCTCAGGGTTTTCATGGCCACTTTTTCCGGAAGTTGGTGGGCAGGTCCTTCTTCCTCGTCTGCCTAGTCTGGAAGCTCTGCTGAAACCTGTCCACCATGGGTGACCTGCTGGTATCTGAAATACTGGTGGCATAGCTTTCAGCATCACAGCCACACGCAGCCGCCACAGGATGACAGTCGACAGACGGGGAGAGAGATTTACGGGTCTAATAAAGGAAGCCGAGACTGGGCAGTCTGGTCTGGGGCTCAGTTATGCCATCAGGGACCCGGGCTCTTGTCATCTTCCCTCTCTGCCACCTTTTGCATGGAGGCCGTTGTCCTCCTGTCTGTCACATCCTTATGGCTGCTACCCCTCCTGACAGGATGAAGGGGAAAGGGGAAAAGCTAGCCAGCTGAGTCTATCCCTTCACAGCAGATTTATTGGAAGCCCCACCTCCTGACTTCCGCTTCATCCTCTTGGCCAGACTGGGTCATATGGTCACCCCTGAGTTGTCAGTGGAGGGTGAGTGGGGAGGGGGAGCCTGGGCGTTGGGGGAGACAGTGGGGCCCCATCTCTGCAGCCTCATATTCCATTTAGGCCAATAAATATTTATTGTGCACCTACTGTTTATCAGGCCCTGGGTGGGGCACTGGAGTCACAGAGATGTCAGAAATAGCCCCCCCACCCCACTAGTCGGGGAGGAGGGGGAGGGGTGTCTTCTCCTGCCCAGGCTCTGGTCACTGTCTCCTCAGTATCCACATGCAGGCTTTTCTGGCTAACACCCTCCCCTACCCCAAGACCACTACTTTGTCTAGGGTGGGGGTAGGTGGGCACTATGATGTGGTCAACTTGTGAAAACAGAAGCCAGTTTAAGAGGCACGGCTTTTATTTGGGATCAAAGAATTGCAATTCGGGGAGCAGAGATTCAGGTAGAAAGCTGAACAGTGTTCCGCCAGGGAGTGAAAGTCAGGGGCTTTTAAAGGCCAAGAAGGGAGGTTGTGTGACAAAGAATTTTCATTGGCGTTGGAGGCAGAGAGCTAGTCTTGGCTAAACATTGATTGACTATTGATTTTATCTTCAGAAAGTCCACAACCCTCAGTCTTTGTGATGGGGAAGTCCATTCTCCTGCTGACTTCTCAAACAATTACTTGTAAAACAGTGGCCGTTTTGGCCCAGTCCAAGGTTCAAGACAGCAAGGCAGTTTCTCTGGAAAGGCAGCTCTGACTCCATTTTAAAATGGCTCCGCTAAAGTCAATTTTGACAGTGTTGAGAAATGTCATTGTGGGGGTGACCCTTCAAGTAAGATGGATGGCCTCAGTAAAGGCAGTCCTGTTAGACCATCAGAAGGTGGCTTGAGCGGCTCCAGGAGAAGCCCTGGGGTGCTCAGGGGGCCTGCATAGCTGCCCCTGCAGCCCCTTGGTGGTGTCTGCTGGCTGGCCGGGGCTGCACAGTCTCTGGGTACCAACATGGCTCCTACAGTGATGGCTCCTGGGCCTTGATGGAGGACAAAACTTGCCACGGGGACACTGGTGGGGGCTGGTGGTCTCTGGACATTGCTCTACTCCTCCCAGGCATGGACCCCAGGCCCCACCGACTTGTCTCCCCACAGCCC